AAATAGGGCCGGCCAGAGAGCTCAGCAGATTAAAAGACCTGCTTCAGCAGACAAAGGGACCAGCGTTTGTGCCCTGCGGGCCCACCCCCAGGGAGCACTGAGACTTCAATTGAGCCTGGGCATGGTGGTGTAAATCCTGTAATCCCGGTGTTGGGAGGCTGAAAACAGGAGACTCACTACAAGTCCGATCTGTGTAGTAACACCCTGTAGTAAATACATAAAAAAGTACAAATAAATTTAATTAATAAAAATAGATATTTTTCCCTTCCCCTTTCTTTGTCCTCTGAATAACTACTACAAAGACAACAATATGTAATGTATTAATTATTGTAAATGTCCTACTATCCTGTTTTGAAACTGTTTCATCACTATTTTATTTTTTTTTCTCATTAAAATGAATGAAAATTATTTAAAAAAGAATCATAGACTAAAAAAATACAAAGAAATTAGGAAAAGTGCAGTGATAAAAAAGGACAAGGATATCTTCTATTAGCACTTTTATTCAACTTAGTATTTAAAATGCTGGCCAGAGGAAATCAGGCAAGAGATAGAAATAAAAGTGATACAGGGCGGCTGGCCAAATAACTAAGTGGATTAAAGCGCCTGCAAGCAGGCACAGGGACTGGGGGTTTGTACTGAGACAGCAGTTGAAACTAGGCTTGGTGGCATGCACCTGAATTCCCAGCTCTTGTGAGGCTGTAAATAGGCAGATCACTATGAGTCTGATCTAGTAGTGAGACCCTGAACACCCTGTAGACCCTCCCCTAAAATACAAAAAGCGATATATATATAGGAAATTAAGAACTGAAATCGTGATTACTTGCAGATTATGTGATACTTGACATAGAAGATCCAAAAAATTTCTTTGAAAAACTTTTAAATTAATAACCAGCATCAGCAGTATAGCAGATACAACATCAGCACAAAATGCAGTAGTGTTTCTGTGCTTCCGTAATGAACTCAATAAGAAGGAAAATATAGAAGCAATATTTCTGGTAGCATAAAGAAAAATATAAAACCTAAGACCCAAACTGATACAATGAAAGATGTCTATTAAAAAAAAAACTACAGTACTCTGAAAGTGAAGGCTGGATTGGGATATTAGTCAATGGAAGGCTATTCCCATTCCTAGGTAAGCAGAATTGGTATTGTCAAAATGGCCCTAAGCCCAGAACTGTTACACAGTACAACCCCAATAGGAAGAAAAACAACATATTCACAATCTGAAGAAATTCTAAAATTCATATGCAACCGGAAGAGACATAGAATGACAAAAGCAATTTTCAGCAACAAGTGCAAAGTAATAGGCATTATAGTCCTTGAATTTAAACTATACTACAAAGTTTCAGTGATAAAAGTTTAATGTTTTTGTTATTTGAATATTATAGGGGATACAGATGAATGTTCATTTTGTATCTGTGTATTCAAAATGGTTAGGGTAGATATATAGTTACATTCTCTTAATGAATAGAGGGATTTGTTCTAATAGTGTTTGTAAATAGGATATCATGTCCGCATCTTGTACAGCAAATAACCACTAGGAAGAATGTATGCAATGTGTTAATAATTGAAACTGTCCTACCAATTTGGTTTGAAACTGTCTCATTGCTATTTGTTTCTCAATAAAATTATGGAAAAAAGTATAATGTTTCATCCTTCTGTTCCTAAAAGCACTAGGATTATAGATCACATTTGAACCAAGTATTGTCTTTCTGCGTATCTTCCCAAAAGAATTTAAAATGTCATACCACACTAATATATGTGCACCCATTTTTATAGAAGTACAGTTTGTAATAACTAATTCTTGGAGTAAAACAAATGCTAAAAAATCAAGGTATTCATAAAGACATGGTCTCAAAATGTTGGCTATCATTTTGAAACTGTCATATTGCTATTTCTTTTTCAATAAAATTAAATTAAAAAATATAATGGTGCTGTAACAAGAAGAGATATATGAATCAGTGAAACAGAACAGAGGATTGAGAAACATCACCAGATATATTCAGCTGTCTGATATTTAAGAGAGAGGCCAAAAATGTATGCTGTTGGAAATACAGCCCAATCAATACATGGTGCTGGGGAAACAGCTGGACCCATGCTTCTGTTCATATATAAAATTGAAAGCAATATAGATCAAAGATGTAAATATTAAAACAGAAACACTGAATCTACTGGAATTTACAATAGCTAAAACACTTGAAGCCACAATATAAGAAGAGTATTTTCTAAACAAAACTGTAATTACACAAGCAATAAAGGCAAAACTCAAGAAATGGGACAATATCAAATTGAAAATCTTCTGTACAACAAGGGAACCAACTGGTAGAGTGAAGACAAGGCCT